TAATATAATATAATATAATATAATATAATATAATATAATATAATATAATATAATATAATATAATATAATATAATATAATAAAGTTGAATTTATTATACTTATAGTACTCGCGCAAGTACGGATATCCATTTAGATTTCATATTGATATCTATATATCTACCTTCTTCCTCTTCTTTTTCTTCTTCATCTTCTTCTACGTATTCTTGTTCATATACCACGAAAAACTGTGCTATCTCACGATAGAGGACCTGCTGTTATCGGTACGCAGGACTGAATCAAATGGAACAGTATGTTTCCCTTGATATGTTAAGAGAATTTGCTGCGAGAACGTACGTCCCTTATCCGCACATCATTTCATAAAGTTGTTTCACTTTACGCAAATAGCTTTATTAATGAAGGGTTTCTCCGCAGCGAGTTGGCCATGAAGCTTATCTCTTCTCAACATTCAGAGAAATGTTAAAGGCTTGCTTGTTTACCAAAGCTGCACATGCACACTGCCAGTCCAAGGTGTGCAGTCAGGTTCCGCAATTAATGAGAATGAAAAATATTATTTTAAACATGGTTCAGAGAATCGTTTAGCGTAATATATTACACAATATATTTACATATACGTTTCGTCTTTACACTATTTATTCACAATCTGGAATTCATTTGATTTTATGCGACCATTTATAAAATCCATTAGAAATGTAAAAGTGCACGACGTCTTGATTTCGAGTCAAAATTCATCCGTTGCAGCTAATTAAATTAACATATTTCGCAGTGATGCATTGATTATTACCACGATATCACAAGTTCCATTTTGCAATTATTTTCGAATATTATTAACTAAATATCAATCTCGACAATCAACAATACATTCGTATAAATGAAATGTTGCAGAAATCACAATTTATTTCTTATATTCAAGGTCACCGGCATAGTTTCAGATAATATGAATATATTTTCATTATTATATTATTATAGCTGATAAAAAAAGTGCATTTCAAACAAATAATATTACTTTGAATATTATTCTGAGAATTATTTCCTTTGTTATATTTGAAATAAAAAGATAACAATATAATCAATTATTTTCAAATTGCTATTAATATTATTTTTACATTCAGACGACAACTTTGAAATATAAAATTGTGAACACATAATTAAATAATAATGCAGTTGCACTCTTTTCAGTTTATTAAAACGATTAAAAGAAACAATATATTTTTCTTTAATTTCTGTTCCTCGAAATCATCTTAGAAAATTTGTATTTTGTATAAAAATCGGCAGTTCATTTATCTCAAATATTTATTTCTTATTTTCCAAGACTAAATTTTTATTTTATTTTAGAAGACTAAAACTTTGGCATGCACCTAATAATTAGAAAATAACGCGAGGGTATTAAACCTAAGCGAAGCAATTTATAAATCGTCCATAATAGGATGCATGTTTTCTACGTTGAGGACAATTACGATGTCAAGTAATATAGCATACGCACCGTAAGTGTACGCTCGAGCATGCGAGTGCTGCAGCCTCTGCAAATATTTGGCTGCGTATCCAAAGCGTACGTTAAGGTATTCAAAGTTGAGTTCATTTGAATTTCAACCGATTATTGAGGCGAATAAAGCGAGAGTACAATGTAAACACCTTCATCTCCTACGAGAGCCAATCGATGTCCGTGCGTATGTACATACGTCCTCGAGGCGCGGTAAGAAAGATATTTAAAGAATCCTAGCGAAATCTTAAAACGGTGTCTTAAAAATCGTTATTTGGTGCTAATTATTCATGCTAGTAACTTTCACTTTATTCTCTTGAAAGTTGTACGAGCGTATTATATTATTCGTAAGGTTACACTTGACGATTGACTAACTTGTTAACAACTGTTACATCACTCTGGAAACGTTGAAACCAGGGTTCGAGATGAAATAGTTACCATCCGTTGTGAACACACAATTCTATTCGAACTCATACGTCCCGCTCAAAAAGATGGTTGTTCCTGTGCAACTTTTACGTAAAGAGTTATTACCACTTGATAACTTTTTCCTATAACAATATTAAATAATTTTTACTTTACTGTGCGCTATAACAATTTTAAATAATTCTTACTTTTCTCCCTACTGTAACAATATTAAATAATCTTAACTTTACTTTGTACTATAACAATATTAAATAACTTTTACTTTACTTTTCA